TTTGCAAAATTCTATTTGATTATTCAATTATAGTAAGCGTGTAATGAGTATATCAAAAGTAAAGGACAAAAAAATCATTTCTACTACACGTAAATGTCACTACATGAAATGTTTGAATATACTTGGAAAATGTTTTTTCTGTCCTAAAAATGATAAGTACTTAGTTAAAAAAATATGAGAATATAGAACGCCTTAAATTCTGTTAACTTGTTGGCAAAATATTAGCATTCGTTTGATAATACACTGTCGAAAAAGAATAATAACAAAAAAGTTAAATTAAATTGGTAGTTACCACAATAACAACTGTACTTCTGCTAGAATATCAATCGTTGTCTTCAAAAAGATTTATTACAATTCACATTCCTGACTCTGCAATACGTTCGTCGTTTAATAGAAAAAAAAAGTTAATTCGGAATTTTAAATTCTTCTAATGGAAAGCTACTTTTAATTTATTTAAAAATTATGATAAATGAGCATAGAATGGAAATAAATAAATAATTGCATGTATGTGTGTGAATGTAAGTGAATGTAAAGTCAGGGCTATAAAACAAATGATGACAAAAAAATAGAAGTCACCGATTTTTGATTTTAGAATCATAAAACAAATTACTTCTGTGCTCACGAACAATTAATTTGGAAAAAGATTATTAAATGTGTATATTTTGAGCAAACACGGCTGAAAAAAATTAGAAGCGTTTGAAATATGAAAAAGGAGAGACAAAAGGCTCGTTAGAGACATATTAGAACCAGAACCAGGAGTAAAGAGAGATACAGAAAGGCATAGATTATATTATTATTCGCAAATAGAGATGTTCTCCTTTCTGATAAATGCAAAGAATGGCTCAACAGTGGTGTCCAACCAGCCATCAATTTTAGAATATTTTGTTAGTGTTAAGGGGTAGAGGTAGACTAAGATTAGATTATTGTTCGCAAATAGTTAAGGATGTGGGTTGTTCTAGTTTTAGGGAAATGCGAAGTTTAGCTCAGGATAGGAAAGAGTGGAGGTACGTGACTGATGACCTTATGATGATGATGATGTTAGTGTTAGTTGAAAGCTCTACTGTTTGTTTATTTAGAAACCAGTTTTAAATTTGTGCACGAAATATTCTCTAAGGGATTAATGTTCAATATTATACAGATCGTCTTAAATGAATAAGTATAAGTTGCTGCTGTCACCTTTCGTAAAATCAGGTGCCAGGGTTCGATTCCCGGCGGGAGCGTGTGACGGCAGCAATAATTTCTCCTCATTAATTTAGGCTAATTTGTAAAGAATAGAAAGTTAATTTCACTGAATGTTTAATACAGCTTTTACGTGATAAAGGAAAAATCCGAACTCTAATAATAAATTAGCAATTCCACTACACTTAACATGAGATTCATCTAATACTGTGTTCTAGCTATTCACATAATCCCACCACTTAGATTGTTTTTCTATCGATTGCTATTTATTATTTATATATTTTATTTTTCTTCAGATTTAGGTCACATAGAATAAAATCTCTTTTGCTGGTAGACCAGTTATTGTAAAAAGCACAATGTTCTTGAATCTCAGTTTTATAAGCATTAACGAAAAATTCATAAAAATCGTGTATCCCAAATATAGAAATATAGAAGCAGTGCTACTCATTTACTTGAATTTGATGATCAATTATCATCAACCGCAGAAGAAAATATTATTGTTCAACATAAATAAAGTAGGTACATTGAGAATGGGTAAAAGGAACGCAATGGGACAAGAACCTCTAATTGTTTGGGAAGTATGTTTGGGAGGTATGTCGAAATGCTACGAGACAAATAAAAATTTGGAAGAACGTTCCTCATTCAATTCTAAAACTCCTGTAAAAATTACAAATCGATTCACTAAACTGTTAAAAAGGTATTGAAATTTTAAAATATTGTAATTTTACACGTCATTTTATGGAGATTTGTTAACCGAACACATTAAATTTATTTTTATTAACAGAAAAAAAGCTACCAGAAATTTCAAACTTCTATAATAAGTAACTTGAACTCTGCAGAATCACTTCAGCGTAAGGTTATTCAAATTCACTAAATGGTTATCGAGGAAAAAATGAAAAATTAGCTGAAAATCTCGTTTTTACTTGATAATATAATGACAATATTTATAATTGTCTGAAATAAATGCAATTTTAAAATTTTAATTATTATTTAAACATATTAAAAAGTTTTACGCTCATTATTAATAGAGATTGAAACTGGATATTTTTTTGTTTCGAAGTTGAAATCAAGGCATATTCACTGCCAAAAGTCAGTTAAAAATTTTCCATATTTATTATTTATCATTGCAAAATTTTGACTTCCTTGCTTATCGTTATTCTTCGCAAAACGTTTTTCCTTTGTTTTTAATTGACGAAATTAGTGGTAATTAGAGCACCCTGTACATTTCTTAACAAAGTTAAGTTGTACTTACGCTTTCGACGATTTTCAAACATGATAAACGTAAAAAGATAGGTTATTGTTTGGTATTTACTCATATAAACTTTCTTTTAGTTATTGTAGAATTAGAATTTAGATGCGAATTTCTGGAGAATCTTATTAATAGTTTAGTCATGACCTTGATTTTAGTTTTGCAATGGCACTAGTGAATTTTGCGTATTTGTCTCATTGAACTTCCATTTTCGTTTCGCTTAATGAAGTACGTATGTATGTCAGTAACCCAAATGATAAGCTTACATATGAGTATTTTTCAAATACGCATTGTTCCGAAGGACGACCGTTAGTACGAAGGGACACCGTTGCGCTTTCGTAAAGGCGCTTCGATCGTTTTCGATTTTCCATAATGTGCCCCTAGCTTTCAGTCTACCGTGGTAGCGCGATAAAGCACAAATGTTCACCTCCTCGTTCTTAAACATCACCGAAACATGAAAAATATGTAACGAACATCGTGCAATAAGAAAAATACATAATAAAAATACCGAAAGAAAAGGATTAAACATCTGGTGAACTGGAACATGCCCGGACCGGTTTGTGGTAGCAAAATTACTTCCTTTAATAAAAAAAGTTTATTGAGGGAGTATGTACATGAGAGGAATTAATATGTTTGATAAATTGAAACACCTCGATTCGGGCTAAATAAATTTTATGTGGCTCTGTTTATTGTGAACTTTTCTTTTTTAATAAAATGTTAGCTGCATCAAGATGACAAGCGATAAAAAACTTTTTCTGGGCTAATTAATATTCGCAATGCCAGGGGGCAGGAGGGGGCTTGTAGCACCCCAAAACACCTTTTTGGAGAACATTATTAGGAGATCTAACCAGCAGCGTAAGTAAGATCTTTATATCTTCCAAGGATACAATATTAATTAATTAAATTAAGTGCAGATAATTTCTAACTATAAATCAAATTTTCTTTGTGATCTAATTCCAACTTCTATCAAAATGTCAAAAAGTCACAAATGATCTTTATTTTGACTTTTTACTGAAAATAAAATAAAATCAGTTTGAAGTGGAAAATGTGTATTCTATCATTTTTGTGATGAAATAATACAAGCAAACGCAGCAAGATCCAATAAAGTATGTCTTATTTTTTCGTAGGTTTAGCGTTCTTTTGTTTCTGTTACCTCACAATTTTTTCTTTCTTTAATAAATGCTATTGAACTATGCATAAATTATTAAAGTTAAAATAGAAGAATATCCCAATAAGGAAAATAAAATTAAAAAGATTCAAAACAACCAGGTACTGTTTTAATTACTGTCTCGGAGGTTTTCAAAAAAATTTCATTCAACAACAATTTACAAGCTGTGAAACAGTGAAAAAATTTAACTATGCCAATTTATGCACATTACAGTATACATTATTTTTATTTTAAGTAGAATCTACTCACCAAAGACAAAGAAGGAAATTCGCGAAGTCTTTATTTTTCTTGTATTGGGAACCCCTGTAAAAATAAGTAACAAGTGATGATTTTATATCGCATACTGAGTTCGAATACATACTAATATTTAAAAACCATTTTTAATTTTGCCAATTCATTAACATGTATTAATATTAATATGATTTCATTCCTTATTTTTTTGTCCTTAAAATCCTACGAAACTCTTATTACGTCCTTAAACCCGCTGCAAGTGGGTTAGGGTGTATTTGATGCTGAATCATTTCAAAATAGGTCAACATGTGTTACTTCTGCATATATCTAAAAGAGTTAACTGATATGAAATTAATTTTGATCCATAGCCTGAGGTCAAATTTTAAATCGTGGCATTTATGGATGTGTTGTCTGAGTTATCAGAATCGGTTTTTAGAGGTCTGCTTATACATATGTATATGTATAATAACTAAAATCAAATTTGCTACTTATGAAGAAGCCACAATGTGCTGGTGAAACAATGTTCTTATATCAAGAAAAATAAGATAATTTCAGCTACAAACATAAAACTTAAATTCAGTTTACGTAGTATACTGGAAATGAAATTTATTAGTTTGTGGTAATGTAATAATGTTACAAATGTACCCGAGATAAAAGTGTTCAGTCTCTTAGAGTCTCTGAAAGCGAGACTCGAGTCTCCGTCTCTCATCGAGTCTCTCTGGTGTCGCGAGAGACTGTCAAAAAAACTGTTTAGCGTCTCTAAACGGGAGACTCGAGTCGCGCATAGAGAGATCATAATTTCGTATGCAGTCTCTGAAAGGGAGACTCGAATCTCTCAATAAGTGGTGTCTCGATAGACATAGTTAAAATTTTCTAAGTTCAACCTATTTCAGAGATCCCAGTCTTTCTACTAAAGAGACTCGAGTCTCAATTTTTCAGTTTTATTCATTCAGTCTCTCTGTGAGAGACTCGAATCTCTGAATTAACAATTCTATCGTTCGAGTCTTTCATACAGAAACTGTGAGAGACGCTCTCAGAGACGCTGAAAGACTGAAAGAATCTGAGAGACTGAAAATTTTTGTCTAGAGTAATACTGTAAAAATGTTACAAATTCTAGATTATTCTTACAAAATCCTACTGGAGCATCCCTCTGTAAGCCCCGCTAATCCAAAAACTAGTTTTTTATAATTTTTATTAAATATATAGTGTAATAAAACAGTATTTTATTAAATTCAGTTCCGCAGAATCTTATATGATATTATTGTATAAGTACAATATAAAAACTGGTGTATTTGAATATAAGATGCTGGAATAACTAGCAAATATTCATTTATTTTAACGGACCCATTAAAAAAATAATAATAAAAAAGTTTAAAGACCAACCTACCTACAGTAACAATTTTGTTTTAAGACAACATTTGTGTCGTGCTCTAAAAGATAAAAGAATCCAAGCAAATGCAATTCCTAAATCGATAAATGCATTGTTAATGTGTGACGTAATTACTTTTAAGTGAGGACCAAAACGTAAATTGAAACCGAAGCATTTATATGTTTACCTTTTTATCTTGTCTGTAACCGATGGCGTAAAGCAAAACCGTTAATGTTTTAACTGCTTGGTACCTACCCATGTACCTACTGATATCACATAAAATAGTTACCAACGATAAGGATAAATCGATTGTGTACACTTAATATGAAAATAATATAGGGTGACAGTATTTCTCTCGGGAGAAGAAACTATCACTAATTTGGAATGATATAATTTTGGGGGTCGGATTTTCGAAACAATCTACTAAGAATTATTTTATTTTTTTTATTAAGTTTTAATGCACAACATAAAATCTAAGAGTACATTTCCTGATTTTTAGCTTTGGGAAGGTTAGCCAATTAGTAAGCTATCAGATAATAGAAAAATTCGAGCCAAAAAGTGAGAATATTTTTTTTTTAATTTTTAACTCCCGAATTTGGTTTGATTCTTTCAAAAATGGCGCATTTCCGAATTAAGTGATAGAGGTTAAATCGTAGTAATAGTTCTTCTAGCAATTTTCTGTCACCCTGTACATTCGGTCACTACAGATTAATTTTAACCACTCACTATGATAGTTGACTACCTGATCATTTAAAGGTCTAATTAATAGAAATAACACGATTTTTTTTGATATCCAGGAATCCTAAATAATTTGGTAGTGTATGCTCGATTCTTTGTGTGTTTCGGTAGTCCTTTTGAAGTTCAAATCCTTTATGGCGGTCTATTTTTAACGTTAAAAGGTGGGCTACAAGAATGGAATTAAAGTTCGAAGAAATAAATAGTTTCATGTCGAAAATCGAAAAAGTTGGCGCGTGAAGCGTACAAAAGCTTTCGATTTAAAAGGATACGAATCCACCAATGTCGTTTTCAAGGACGACAAGCGATAGCATTAGCCTTGGCAAAGCTCCGGAACTGCCAATTTGCATACAGGGAGGCACAAGGACGTAAAGGCCGTTTGTAATCGGTTATCTTCTAAGTGCTTTTAAACGGTTTCAGAATGTGTACTTACACTTACATATATATATATAAAATATAAAGTACATGGTTTAGGCTTGGTATTGACATTAATCTAATGTTGATATGTAGATATGCTAGAGGCAGATGCCGAATTTGAACAAATGTTGAAATAAATTAGCAGATCGAAACCTGTTTCGAGCAAAATGAGCATATACCGATTGCGACGATTATTAAGTATTTTGCAGATGCTGAACTTTTTGATTACACAGGTCTGCGAAATTTTTTTTTGAAAAGTTTTTTTCTTAAATTGTTAATATTTGTCGTAATTGTCTTAAAAGTAATAGAAAACGATATACCACGTGACATTAACCCATAAATGCTCAGAGAACACATTTCCATTTGAACCCTTGCCACGTAATGAGTGCGACGAAACAATGTTTGATAACTAGTGTTTCTATGTTTTTAACGATGCTCTTTTCGATGGTGTTGGTTAAAAATACCTCCGACAATATTAAAGCATGAAAAGGTCACAAATAAGCAAAGAAAACATGATTTTTGAATTGATTGTTTTCATAAAAAGTAATTTTTTGTGTCCTTACGATTTTTTTATATGCTTAAAACCTATATAGATCATGACCTCGATATCTAAACATGAAATAATTACCGTTGGTCAAGTCGAAATGCCTTTACAAACTGTTTGATCAAACCAAGTTTAATGTAAAGTGGTGGAAGCAATACTTTCTTCTTTCAAACTCGTATTGATGACATTTTTCACTCCGACTTCCAATTTCATTCTAATTTGGACAAAGAAATACCGAATAACAATGATTTTGATTTACCATAAGTCCACTGTCTTAACACTTCAACACATAACTGGCATATTTTATCGTAACCCAGTGTCTATCTTGGTGACACAACTTCATTCTGAAGTAAGCTTATTAAGTATTTTTTACAAACTGTTATATTCAATCAATTCAAAAAACAAATAAATTTGCGGATTCAAAGAGCCATATATACATACATATATTAATCTACATACAAAAAAAATGTGACGTGATACGTTAAAACAAAGTTTATATTTGCAAAATATAGACCAACATGTACATGCTTAAGATAAATTTATACAAAAAACTTTCTTATCGCAGACCTGTGTTATCCGAATCCATAAGGCGTTGCGAGCACGGGAATACACCCACATCTACAACTGTTTCTTCTTTTGATATTTTTTAATTTACCCAATCGACGGCTAAACCTCTTTTTAGATGTATGTAATTATTGCATACTTAAGTACAAAAAATCGTCAACCTAAACTCACCATAAGCTTACCTTCAAAAGATGCACAAAGTTAAAAACAAAGAAGAATTACGCATCTATTCAAGGTTAGGCTAAAGTCAGTTTAGCTGTTGTCCTGATTTGGTAGCTGTTCATAAACGATCTAAACAGATAACAAACCGTTCAATTTTGGCCACCAGTAATTGAATTCATGAAATTCATCAGGAATATTAATGAAATATCTATAAAATTTTGTAGAAGTATACCAAATCGGTGTTTAATTTTTGGAAGTAGGTAGGTAATTAATCCCATGGTGATCATCTAGGAATGGTAAAGTCCACTCTCCAGATAGAAGAGTAAGTTTTTATATAATTACTTTCGATTAGTTACATTTAAAAAACAGATGTAATAGTAAGAATTATTTCAGATTGAATCGTTTACCTGCATTTGTTTTATTTCCTAAATTTTTGATATGAATGGAATTTAGTTGTTGTTGTTAATCACATTCAGTTAGCGATATATTGCATCAACTTGTAATCAACTTCCCTAAGCTTAGAATCGGTCTTCTTAACAGAGGAAAATGGCTCTCGAGTCGAATGTCATTAAAAACCCCTCCATCTCGAGGACCGTCTAAAGAAAGTATCATCCAACTTTCGCATCACTACTAACGCTGTTAGTCTTAAAAATCAGTCAATATGCCTAAGTAGGTAAATCCCTTCAGCAGGAGTAATTACACATGGGCATTGGGCATATGCAAATAATGCATCAAGTTTTAAAACCTCTAAACTGAGAAAACAGTATGTGTTTTTTACGTTATGCACTGCTATACGAGGGTGGATTGATAAGTTTCCGGCCTAACCAAGAGATGACGCCACTAGGCCTACCTTGAGGTGACATTCTATAGTACCATCCTTGGATAGCTTGTAGCTATAGTTTCAGCCCGATCTCCTTGCTAGTGTAGGTTTGACAGCACGCTGAACAAGACGCCTCTGTGGTTTTCGTAAAAATGGAAAAGCAGGAAAATCGTGCTGTCATCAAATACTTTTATTTGAAGGGGTTAACGCCGAAGGAAATTAAAAAAGAGATGGACTCAACACTGGGGACATCCTCCCCGTCATATTCAACCGTTAAGCAGTGGGTTTCCGAGTTTAAAAAGGGTCGTGTGAGCACCTCTGATGGGCCTCGCTCAGGACGCCCCGTTGAGGTCACAACTCCAGATATGATCGAAAAAATTCATCAAATAGTGCTGGGAGACCGCAGATTGAAAGTGCGTGAGATAGCTGAGACCTGTAAGATGTCATATGAACGTGTGCAA